GACCCAGCGGCACCAAAAGCCGTACACAGAGCGCCCCTGGATAGTCGACTGGCGCCAACATGAGCCCACCATGCGCGTGGACAGCCTCTGCCCGCGGTGCGATGAGATCTTCGAGATTAGGATGAAGCCAGCGATGCAACCGCTCTTTAAACGCATTCGGTTGCTTATCAATTTGTTCAAACGCGTCAATGGGTTTGCAGGACATATCCAAAGTGTGTTTGATAAGGCGGCGACTGAGTCGGGGGAGCAGTGGTGGGAGGGTTCGTTAGTAAACGAATATGACAAGGAGAAGATGAAAAAGCTGGAACGTCATCTCAATCTATGGTGGACACAGCTGAAAGGGGTAGTGGAGGCGGATTTCAAACGTTCCTGGGAGCATGACGAACAGGCCGTAATTTTATTCGAGCTCAAGAAGGACGCGAGGCTAGAGGATGATTACGTGGAGCCTGTTGTCGAGGATGGTCAGGTCATGGAGGAGGACTTTGATGGTCCCTGGGCTGTCGACGCTTTTTATCAGCGGTCTGGTGCCCCCGTGGACGACTTCATGAAAGATCTGGAAATGCTGGCACTTGGTGCAGGGCTAATAGGCGTGGAGGAGTTTGTAATAGAAGACATGGCGGAGCGGCTGTCTGAGTGCTCCAAGAGAGCGGGGACGAACACAGATTAAGTTTTCCTTGTTCAGTTATCTCTATAAGAATTGCCTAGAAACTTACTTCAGTCTCTTCACGCTTAGTTTTCAGTTTCAATTCGCTCGATCACCAGCTGAAGCTTGTTGGTAAGGAAGGCTGTAGGCGGGACCAATAATTGGGTTCTTGGCCTAATATGGAATCTGCTTCCATTTGCTTGTTCAGATATATTTGCTGTAAAAACCGTCCGCCCAGTTGATTAAAATTTCTACGGGAGCCAACCGATCCCGCTATCGAGATATTCTAATTAAATTAGGTGAATTAAGTCATTGACCTTCAGTTTACTTTTGCCTAGTCATCCTCTCACTGTCTTAATAGCTGTTAGGAGAAGGATGGCATTTCGCTTGCGGTGATTTGTTCTGTGAGCTGGGTTACCAGACACTTCCGAGGCAGATCATGGTCTCTTCAATTCAGGTAATTTGTCAGACCTCATAAATAAGCATCTCAAGGGAAACGTCGCCGAGCCGTGCACAGGCAAACTTTGTGAACTTTCAGATTACGGATTGACTAATGCGATGGTATTTTCTAGTGCGATGACGGCGTTCGTAAATTTAGTAAGCCTACGTGTTACACATTAACGATATGAGCGGAGTTTTCGATCCACAAACTTCAAGGACATAGAGTCTTTGCACTAGACGGAGTTCGCAATCCTTGCAAATAGGCT